CTCCAACCCAGAACCCTCTGGTCCTGGTTCCCCCGGGACTCCGACACGGAACCCTCTGGTCCTGGTTCTCCCGGGACTCCAACCATGAACCCTCTGGCAGAAAGGGCCTGGTTCCCCCGGGACTCCAACCCAGAACCTTCTTGGTGTGATGCGATGGTGCTAACCACCACACCACCATGCCGCCCATTTAAAGTATAGCTTATTATTAATTTTAGTCAAAATCAATAAGTACTGTGAGTAATTAAAGATGTTTCTATCATTACAGAGACATCATGAATGATATAGCGGCTATATAACCCACTCCCCATGCGCAGGCACAGCCATCCAGGAGAGTTTTTACCTCCCATCAAAGCCTTTTGAATAAATCAAGATCTCTGTTGCTCCTGCTGCCCAGCCTGTCCCGCGAAATTAAGGTGACAACCAAGTGAACTTGAGCCTTTGTATACATGTAACTAGGAGTGCAGAAGCGATCCCTGAACAGAAACACAGAGATCTGCCTCTACCTGTTCCTCCCCCCGCACCACCTGTAATTAGGGACTCTGAATAATACTTGTTGCACTGTTTCACCTGTGAACGATAATTCTCTAAATATTGCTTTGCAAAAACCCTGCTCCTCCCCTACCACACCTGCAACCACCCAGAATCAGCAGTAATCTGAATCAGGAGACTCTAAGCAGCCGCTGAACAGAGTTGAAGAGCTCATCCTCTCCTGACTCAACTTGGACGCTTTAACAACCCTGACATGAGGCGACTTTTTACAGTTACAACTCTGGAAATGTGCCTGATCTTGCGGCATTCCAAACAGATGTCATGCACATTCCCATCGATCTGCCTGACTCTGAAAGATTGCAAGCCACAGCTGGAGTTAGTGGGGGATGGTTTTTCTCTTGTAGCACCATTTTTCATGTTAAGGACGAGGGGTAATACATTCTGCCTGCATTTAAGGAATTTAGATGAGCTAGTACAGTCCAACGCTGAGCTCCCATCATACAGTAACTTAGAAGTCCCTCTTCAGGTTGTAGAAACCCTACAGGGGGTTCAAGCACGAGGCTGTAAAAACACTAGACAGTTAATTGATTGGTAAGGAGCACTTGGATAGTGTGCAGAATTGCAGTAATTAGGTTCTCCATCAGCTAAATTTGACAGACTATCAGGCCTTAGAACTGAGGGGGTGGTTCTTCTAAGTTGTTTGTCAGATTCGAGGCCTGTAGGCTTCATCTGGGCAAGAGAATGATTATATAGATCCTTTTACATAGATGTATTGTTATTTTCATTGATGGCAAGCACCATTAATGAAGTGCTGATAACACTTCAACTACAGATAGAACAATACACTGCTTTAGTTTATGTTCTTTAAGTTTATGCAGGGGAAAGATTCATGGTTTGCCGACAATAATCAAACAGAGGTGCATTACATTACATTTTTACATTAAAGGGGGAAAAACTCCACAGGTCTTAAGGATGAAAAGTGGAGATGTGAGCTGAAGGGATGTGAGTCCAGGATCGCTAACTGTCAGGTTTGGACTTCGAGGCAGGACTCAGATGCAGAGAGGTGGTTCAAAAAGGTCTTATTGAACTCAAGGTGCACTCTCAGACAGTGGAAACAAAGTAGACCAAAACTATGAACAAAGTATGAAATCAAAATCACTCTGACGAGGCAAAAACAAGACTGTGTACAAAGTATCAAAAATATAATCAGTCAAAAAGGAGGAAGGCAAAAAGGCTATGAAACAAAGTAACAAAATAATACTCACTAGAGTTAACAAAATGACAAGGAGGATCAAAAGCAAAATCCCTCTTACGAGGTTAAACAAGGGGCGAGGCAAGGCACGGTACGAGGACAAGATAAAGCTCAGTAAAGTCATGGATACGAAACACTCTGGCTCAAGACAAGGACTATTTAAACACAAGAGGGGAGGGAACCGGGCGGCACGGTGGTGTGGTGGTTAGCACTGTCGCCTCCCAGCAAGAGGGTTCTGGGTTCGAATCCCGGGGGAACCAGGACCTTTCTGGGTGGAGTTTGCATG